AAGTGAGTTGGACATGCGAGAAATGCTTATGGAACTCTCTTCCGGTTATAAATATGAACATAAAGAAAAAAAAAAAGAAATTGGGAAAGATGAAAATGAGAAGACGAGTAGGGAAGCTATGAGATCCGATAGAGAAAAGTGAAAAGAAAAGCAGATGAAAGGAAAAACAAAACAAATATATATATAGAAAGAAATGGAAAAAGATGGCGACGATAGATAGACAAGCTTGCTGAATGGATAGCAACAAACGAAAAAATTGAAAAGCAAGTAAGAATAGAAAGACGTAAATATTGTGATATATTATATCTTTTTATAGAGAGACAGAGTAAAAGAAAGATAAAAGTAAGGAAACTATTTGTACATTCTTTCTTCTTTGCGCATACAAAACTAATTTATATTTGTAGAACATTTAGATAAAAACAAGACTGGCTAATTCGGATTGGAATGGATAAGGGAGAGTGTGAGATGATACAGAAAACCCTCAAAGAAAGGAAGTATAATACACCAACATATTACTATAAGTCCTTATTATTTCTATTTTTTCCTTAATAGTCTCAGTTGTAATTATTAGTTCTTTATATTATTATCTACTAAGTTCCACTTCGTACCGTGGCACGCAGCAGATATTAATGCTTTTATATAGAGCGTCGTCTTTCGCAGGTTCAAGAGATTATCTCCCAGGGGATACCGGCATTAATGTGGACAGACTAAGTTAACCATATTAAATAACTTAATAAATTTATTCTAAATGACACATTGTAATATATAAAGTTCTAAAGTTGTTTGTCCGCCTGAAATGATAAAAGTTAAATATATAAAATTACCTATTTATGTAGGCGGGCGTAAATTTGACGTAAAAAAAAACTTTGACATCAAAAGTTTTATTATTCACATCTCCCCGTATAATTCTTGGAGAGACAGTGACTCTTGGAGAGTCGAGTTCGAATTCCAGTCGATCTCATTACTTTCACTTTCGTGGGAAAGGTATGGATCCATCTCTTCTATGACCCCCTCCCCCCAAAAAAAACTATGGTACATAGCAGGACAGACTTGGTTTTATAGCCTTGGGTGGCAACCCGTGTAGGAGAAGGAAAACTCTTAATTCAAACCAGCCCGAAAAATGGAGAGAGGGAGCCGAAGGCAGTTAATAAGTCAGTACTATCTGGCAAACCCTGCAACCTGCCTTCTCCTCCCCAGACGCCACGGACGTGCCCTTCGTTTTGCGATATAAACGAACATTCTAACCCTGCCTCTTTTGTGATGCCAACGAATACTCGTTGTCACTTTGGTAATGCTCGTTGTAGTAGAGACTTTGTAATTGCAGATACGACTATAGTACGCTGTTTAACAATACTGATGTCAGACGCCTTCGAATAACACTTACACTAATAGTACTTGCTCGATAATACTCGCTCGAATAGTAATCCGTATAGTGATCTGAATAGAGAAATATTATAGTGAATAGAGTAGAGAATAGCGCCCCGTATAGTAATAGAGGTTAGAATAGAAACGCGATCCGTATAGTATAGAGGATAGAGTAGGATTAACGATCAATCAGATGCTTTCCTCTATGGTCACGTGGTCTACTTAATTTAATAATGGGATCGCGTGTGTTTACTCACTGGCGATCTATGTTCAAACTCAAGTGTCAGTAGTGAACTTCGAACGGAGTAGAAAGAGATGGTTGCTGTGACTCAGCGTAAACCATACAAATCTGTGCAACGTACCTGGCTATGCTAGTGTGGATCATCGATTCGCGAAAAAAAGAAAAAATAAATCCTGGCTATCTTACTGGTTCTTGCTTAATTTTGATAATTAACTTACATAATCAACGTTAAAAATTAAAACAAAACTATACCCTTGTGCAAATTAAGTAAAACAAAACGAATAATTCATTTATTATTTATTTATTTTTTGTATTTTCCCAATGAAACACGACCCAGTGAACATGTTAGTACTTCGTATGTCCAGTCCATGAAGTCGTTCCATCTAGATTGACCACAGATTCTCGATTGGATTTAAATCAGGAGTGTTTCCAGGCCAGACTATAGTATTTTGATTTGCTCAATGTTAAAACTTTCTAGTGTGTTCGTGCAGCGTTACAATTTTAGTACGCTTCCTTGGAGTAATGTCCATCGTATACAATGACCATAGGACAACTAATCGACAGTCGAGACAATAGTGTCTGAGCATAAAAAACCTGATGCAATCACGGATGACGCAATATTTTTCAACACTAAACAAATTTCATCATACACCCCGAAAATACATTCATATTACTGCACTCCACTACAAATGACCTAATCAGAGGAAAAATAGAAATCAATTATACCCTGTCACTCCAGTGGATTTAAAACTGACCGTATGGTGAAAGAAAGGAAACTAAAGCGGTTGTTTCAATTAATTTGAATAAGGGTGTATGCTTTGTTATTTATTCCCAGTTTCTTGCTTTGTGATCCTTATAAATAAGCGAATACTTTCTTGGTGGCTTTAATAAATTCTGATTTAATTGCGTATTTTGAAAATCTAACAACTATACTAAATTAAAACATACCGTATATAAAATAAACCACTACCCAAATATTTGAACCTACCAAAATGCTTTAATTAAGATATCCCTGGATGCTATATTACACGTACAGGTCGATTTCTCAAAGAAAGAAACGACTGCGTAACGAAGCAAAAAAAAAAAGGTGAATTGGTCCGCGCATCGCCAAATATTACCGCTAGTAAAAAAAATATCCATTAGAAATGACATTTCTAAATATAGTTTAGTCGCAATGCTAAAGAAAAACGAATTTCACCAATGGCGACTTTACAATGTATTCAACAACGCTGAGTAATCCAAGTGTGTTTAAAGAACTTGTGCTTATTAGTGAGTTCAGGAATATCTTCAGACATCAATTATCGTGTAACTGCGTGTATTTGGACAGTATACAAGTTTTAAAAGAATCACTCATTATATTTAAGCATAGCCCTAAAGATAAGAGTCGATCAGATAGAGAGGTTAGTTAAATTAGAGGATGCTTTCACCGAGTTCTTCCCGGGAAAGAACTCAACAAATATTCGCTTTAAATGGAATCCAATTTTAAGAAAACGTTCTGATAAGTGACAATGACAAAGAAAGTATCTCCAAATCGATAACAATTTTCAGTGTTTCGCTTTGGGGACTGACGGTGTAAAATATATATCCCTGCTCCGTTCATTTGTCTCCCAAATCAGCGAGATCTTTCTTCGTTGGGAGCTAGAGGAATATAATAGTTTTTGTGAATGAAAACGGATAGGCAATGAAATGATCTTTTTATCAGTTGGTGACATATATCCATTGCTGTAGGATGGATATTCTCTTGCGTCGGCTATCCAAGAAGTATAGGTGAGGGAAAAGAGAGTGAGTAAGTTATCAGTTGCCCGCTCCCACCGACAGATATAGAATAAATATTATAGCAGACAGGCTCTTCAACCTTGGCTAGCAACCAGAGGGATAAATCTGGTTTCAAAACAGAGTGGGTATTAGTTACCTATCTATTATGTAAATAATGCTTTAGAGGAAAATAGAATATTTTGGTGAAAGAAAACCGATGTGGAGTAATGGATAGAGGCTCTGATTGAGGAATCGGAGAGCCGAGTTCGAATCCCAGTCGAATCCATTACATTCACTTACGTGCTAATATCCTTGAAAAAGGTATGAAACCTATTCTTCTTCCCCTAGCTATGGTAAATAGCAGGGAAAACGGAGTTATATAGCCTTGGATGGCAAGTGGCCTACGGCAGAAATGGCAACCTACTGCGGGAAAATATTGAAAGATATATGAGCGTGTATGACTGACTGATTGACATATATCCATTGCTGAAGGATGGTTGAAGGAAAAGCTAGTAAGCAAGCTATCAGTTGACCTCCTCCGACAGCTATAGATTAAATATTATAGCAGACAGGTTATTCAGCCTTGGCGAGCAACCAGTCTATTAGAATGATAACTCTGGTTTCAAAACAGAGTGGGTATTAATTATTTATCTATTATGTAATATATTAAATTGTTTAGAGTGTATAAAGCCTGTATTTAGCCACGAGATGACGCAATAAATAACTACATTGTTGTAATATAAATCCTATAAAGAAATCTTCTGAGCTCGAAAAGCATCGACGCAGGCCATTCTTTTAGCGTTTACATTGTCATGCAATGACCGCATTATGAAGGACTCAAAGTTAAAATATTAAAAAGAAAAATTTACATTAGTCGGACTTTTCTTCCTCATTTTTATCGCCATATTTGTTTTGCGTTTGTTATTATAATCTCAAAAAAACTGATTATTATTGATTTTAAATTACCTGAGTTTTTTTTTCATTATTATATTGTTTATCTTTCTCCTCATACAACATCTTTATAAATTTATCAGTAATGTCCTTTTAATTTTCCAATCTAAAAGTTGTTTTTCGGCACAGTAACTCTTTTAGATCCAGGACAGACCAAAGAAGGTGAGTTCAAAAATTCCTTAAGGCATGAGTCCTTTTTGTGAAAAAATTTGGATAACTGATAATCGACTTCTCATGATTTTATCATATTTTTTAAAACAGTTTATTCAAACCGATAAAATAACTTGCATGAAAGGTTCGAAGCCTCCATTTAGGCTGAAGAAGGCAGTTTTCTCAACGGCTTTCTTTTTTGATTCAAATATGGCGACAAAGATGAAAATTTAGTATTGTCTAAAATAAATACTATACATAATACCTTATCTCAGAAATATAGACAGACTCGAAAGGAATATAGTACGCTGAATTGTTGGAACAATGCCGACATAACTGGTTACAAGCAGCATGTAAAACCATTGAAGCGGGTGTTCGCGGACCGGTCTTCCTGAAGAGATTGCAACAGGCTGGACATGACAGCAACCAGTAGACGAAAAGCTATTAAGTCGGTTTCTAAAATAGCATTAATAGGCTAAAGACTGCTGTGGATAAGGAGAAAAACGTGAGTGGGATTGCGCTAGAAAGGGATTGCGACATGATCAGTCGTTGCCTGATTAAGGATATCTGTCTGTTGAAAGATCCCAAGATATTCAATGAAAGATCATTAAATTTTCCAAATGCAACACAGGGTAATGTATTGGATTTTTCTCTTGTCCTGGTGATAGTAATTGAAATAAAGAAACCGAAAACAAGGAAAAGAAATATTTAATCAATCAATTGTGTAATACATGAGCTGGGCTTAGTTTTAAGTTAGATTCGATATAGTCACTCTACATGTATAAGAATCGACGAATAAATATTATTTTAGTTGCTAGGAATGACTTCAAGTGTTAGTGACCTTCCTGGGTATGAAGATAAACTACATCCGCGTCCTGGGTATGAAGATAAACTACATCCGCGTCCTGAGTAAAACTTTTAGGAGCGTGGTACCACCTCTTAATTGTTGGTGTTCCCAGGTTCACCCTGACCCGAGGTGGTAGCACCTGTTAGGGTCCCAGCTATGGGCAAATAGTTAACCCCGAAACTGAGGTAAAAAGCATTATGAAAGTGTAAAAATAGGTTTTAATATCCGAAATACTTTGTAAAAAATTATTACCAGAAATAAATTTTTGAAGAAAAAAAAACTATTACCAGCAATACGTTTTTGAAAAAAAAATATTACCAGCAATACATGTTTTAAAATAATATTACCAGCTATACAATTTTGAGGAAGAAAATATTAACAGAAATAGATTTTTGACAAAACAAAAATATTACCAGGAAAAAAAACTTGTCGGCATTAAATGACCCACTGAGGTTGATATACCGTAAAATAAAACAAACCAAATCAAACCAAGTGAGTAATTTAAAAAAATCAACTTTTTTAAGAAAACATAACCATCCAAGTTTATAAATTTCCTAAAAGAAGTTGGATTGTACTGAAAAATATGAGTAATTGAAGAATGGTTAAAATATATATGTATATATACACACCTTTTTTACCAAACTATCGCTATGAATCTATTTCAAAACTTTGTTGGCATTAAATGACCCACTGAGGTTTTGATATGCCATAAGACAAAGAAAGAACTACAACCAAGTGTTAGTGACAGAAAGAGAAAGACCTTAGGTTGTTTTATAAAACATGTCAGACATTAGAATCGGACAAACGATATTTAATTAGAATGTATTCCTTAACATATGTGTCATTATTATAAATAATCTCCAACCAATGATTTCTATTATTTGTAAAAGTCGTTTGGTTTGGAATAACCTAAAGAATTTAGTTTCCACCTCTTCATCTTTTTTTTATTAAACAGTCCAAAAAAATGATTCCGTAACAAGTACATTTAAAGAAAGATGGCAAGAAAAAAGACACTGTTATTTAGAATTAGAAAGAAATTGTTGGAATCTCTGTGCTGATAAGGCATAGTGAGCTTAAAACTAAAACAATATCCAGTTCTGACGTGGGGAGGTGCACTGAAAACATTTCTATTGTCTAATTTTCTTACGGTTACGCAGACAAAGAAGTATAGATATATTGTCTATTGCAACACATTATTTCTTTCACCTTGTTCAAAGCTATCATCAATTTGCAACACAGTAGCCATTCTGTTATCTTGCATTGGTGGAAAAGTCTCAATTCAGTTTTCATATCGATAAGTGGTTGGCAGTGTTTGGTGATTTTCAGACATTGAACCAAATTCCATAGGTACTGAGAAAATGAACGTGTCATGTAGGAAATGTTCTTGCCTAGTCTTGTAATCATAAATAATTTTGCTTTTATCAAATTAACTCAAATCTTTCTTCTTGCTCCCAACTAAAATAATGAAAATGAAGCACGTGAGACCAGTTTAAACTCTTTTATAATACTGACTTTAACATATTTAATTATTACCCGACATTAGCTGTCATTCTTTTTTACATATTGCACATTATTCAAGTTTTTTTCAGGTTTCTTCAAGGTGGAGATGGATAGATTGATTTGTTCAGTTTTGACGGTTTATCAACTCATTGAGTGTTATTTAAAGCCGAAACCTACGTTTTGAATTTGAATATTTTTATGAAAATGAATATTGCATTAACATTTTATTTTTATTTTTTTAGATAACAATGACTTTTCCAGATACAAGTCCTTCTATTTAACCCATAGCAGGGGATGAGCAAAGATGGAGTCATATGTTTCCAAAGTGTATTTGAATGTCAGGGAATGTAGTCTACTCAACGGGAATTCGAACAGGGCGATAGAGAAAAGAGGCATACAAAAAATAAAATAAAACCAAGAAAGAAAAAATGAAAAAGAAAAACAGGTAGATTTTCAAAAACACAGAAATAGCGACAAAGTTCTTCAAAATAAAAGGCGTTAATTCATGCAATCAAACGGGATATCTGCGCACGCGCACAGTGTACCCATGTCAGCTCGGCACATGAAAAGCGTCAATCTCTATTTCACACTGCTGCCACATATACATGACCAGCACGAAGAATAAAATTATATATATACTAGTGTACGAGTGCCATAAAAAAAAATGAGAGCTTATTTTTTATCCGCTGTAGTTATGTTGTTGATAATTGGCTTCAGTAAACAGAAGATTGTTTGCATTATGAACTCTTTTTTTGTGCAGTTCTTGCATTTTAAATGGCGACAAGTTTCTCATCCCTTCCTTCGGTTGCATTACTCCTCAGTTATTTTCTCGAAGATGTTCTTCCTTTACCATTCTTATAACTTATTGCCTTAGATTCTTCATTTATTTCATTTTGAATCCTTTTAGTTAAAGTTTCTCATTTCAGTTCTTGTATTAGCTTTTCTCTTTTTGTTTCATTTTGTCCTCTTTATTGCAGGTTTGTTCTCCACCTATTATCACTTTTGATGCCACATTAATTCATCTTTAAGCCTCTTCCTTATTGGCACATGGTGGTCCTGCGATGCCTATGACTATCTTTGCCTATCAGCCTCCCCGTCGTGCTTGTATCTGATTCTGAGATAAGGCGTAATCGCTTCCTTCGTTTTCGCGCTGGTTCTAATGTCCTGTCTTCAAGGGAATTTTCTATTTTACGATGTTCATTGAAAAAAAAAAGAAACTTCTTAAATGCACAAAGCAATGTAAAACATGGGGAATTAATTAAATTTAATTCTACATTTATAGAGCAATTTTGTGCTGAATCTGAGAGAGCAATGCAAATTAAAAATGTATATAAAAATATGAGAATTTGTAATTACACTTTCAAAATGAACACTACATTCATCTCTCAATAGTTATTCAATTATATATTTAGAGGGTAAAAATGTGTCGAATGTAGGATACCATATTTCGCATATTCAAATACAATATATAGTGATGGATGCATTTTCTGCGGCAACATTATTAAAATCCACGTGATATGTTTGTTTGAAAGTTATTGTTAATTGTAAAGAAATGATTATTATCACCGCTTGTAAATCAATTCGTTTCAAATGTGACAGAAAATATATAAATAAATACACATTGATAATTATTATATGCTCTGATACATATAATATAGTACTTATATATATCTTATATATAATACTTATATATATTATATGTAGACACACACATATATATACTGTTTATAGATATGTAGTTTAATATCTTTGTATATTTATTGAGGAAAATTGCTTATTTGATGATGATGATGATGTTATATATATATATATATATGATATATATATATATATATATATATATATATATATATATATATATGAATTAATTATAATTATTTCAAATCCTCCTAATAATTTCTATCACTTGTATATCCTTGCTTGAACCCGCTTCTAATGCTCTGGATGGAGGGCTTGGTGATAGTAGCCGTGGCTCGTGGGGGCACAGTCCTATGGGTAAAAGAGAAACTCGGATGAGTTCCACTACGGAATATGTGATCGAGCGGCGTTATATTGAGTCTAATTTGCTACCTCTTCAGAGGATAGTGACGTTGCCCGTTAGTACAGATGGCATGTCGTTTGCCTGATAACGTGACTGTCCGGGTTTCAATTCTCGCTAGTGGATGCGCACTGCTGAAGAGTCCAAAATATAGGGCGAAACGGCAGTCAAGAGCTTTCTACATTCTGTTGAGGTTTCTTCTAGACTCGATGAATTATATATATATATATATATATATATATATATATATAAAAAGCCTGTTTTGCTGTATCACCGCTCGTCATGGATCGAAACTCGTCCGATTTGTCAGACATTCTCCCACTGTGTGTGTTTGTATAATCAATTTAGATATCATAGCCATAAATAAAACTAGACTATTTACGTACACACATCTTGTACTCACTCAACTAGTATAAATAAGTCATCTAGAGGATAAAAATATAAAGGGAATGGTGTGATTAAACGGTTCATTGGCTTCTATTTTAGTTGTGAATTCGTTATTTCCACTTCATTGAATCTCAAGACATTGTTTCAAGAATGTTGTCTCATTGTATCTCACTCTTAAAACTTTGTTACGGTTGCGGCCATTTTTAACAGCGCGAATACACTAATTCATCATAAATTACATAATAGTACTTTTGACTTTGATAAACCATTACCCAAGATTAACTGTTTTGTGCTATGTCACTTACATCATTTTTTAAATATCGTATTTTCACATCTCGTGTCATGTGTCCAACTTTCATGACGCTTTTAACACCTTATCTCCTGTCCGTTCAGCTCGACTCGTTTATGGGCTAAGCAAATATCCAAATTTATTTTGTAGACAAGATGAATGGGATTGATGCAGCTGTCGATTTTTCTTTTCAATATTTCTTTTCCCTTTTGCAATCTTTGTAGGTTTTTTTTGTTTCTTTTTATTCTTTCTTTTTTTCGAAAACATTATAATCTATTTTTTCTTGTTTTGTTTTTCTAACCCATCATTTACGATCTTTCTGTTCCTTTCTAACCTGTGGCAAACCTTTCAACTAGAACAATGATCAATTCAGCATTATCGGAAATCCTTTCGTTCAAAAGCCCAAGATTCTTTCAAGAAGGAACAAAAGAATTAGGTTCAAGCTGGGATTTACTATTGCTAATAAAAAAAAAATTGAATATGTTCTATACAAATAAATTTGTTAAATTTGAACTTGTTTTATTGTAACTTTAATATATATATATATATATATATATATATATATATATATATATATATATATAGTGAACAAGTGAAGTC